GTAATTATCTATGTCGTGATGTTTACAACTACAAATTCTGATTGGCGTATCGAAAAGTTATATATTAATGATGCCAATTCAATTAACGGTAACATTACTGGTGACTTCAGTAGACCACATCATTTTATCAAAATAGTGCCTTTATTCCTTTACGTTTTGGTTTTTTTTGTTGCGTTGCGTTTCACGCTTGTCTTCTGTGCCTCGTGCTTAGCGCTTTGGCTCTAGTGCCTGGCGCACAAGCGTTCCTCTCACGGTGAATGACGTCATTCTCGACACGGCGTTATGTGCCCTAACTCACGCACAAGCACTCCATAGTATTACTCAAAGACTCACTACCGTGCATATTGCTGACTCACGGGCGCCGTTAAACTGCTTAAACTAAAAAAATGCCCGTCCGAACTATTCAACGGGTTTATACCTAAAAACCGCCAAGCGATTATATAAGGCCCAACGGTTTTACATGATAAAGTTGAGTTATTTCGTGTCACTAATGAGCAATTGGGGTGTGACTCACCAAAACGCACGGTATCCACTTAATACCGGCGGCACGCACCGAAATTTTTGCGACAATTGCCGAATTTCTACGAAAGTCTCATGTCAAACTTCTGAAAGTATTCCATCTCAAAGCGATCTGAGTCACTTGAACTCTCCGCGATTTCACTCTGTGTACAAGCGTGCAATACTAGTTAGCTGCGAAGCAATTCTGTTTTTTTCTTCTCCTCACAATTTTAAAGGAAGTTAGAATATTTTCAGGAGGTTAGGACATGGCTTTTCGTGACTAGGCATTTAGTCTGTTAATTTTTAAAGACCCTTCACTCTATAATTGCGACATTTTCAAATTTTCTTCCAATCCGTAAGAAGTCAACTCTCGCAAAAAAACGCTGTCTTTTTAAAAAAAAATCACTGTGCTTAGAGAGAAAATATAGTTAGTAATTACTCGCTGGTGCCAAGAAGAAAAAAAGAAAGGAATTGTAACGAGATGAAAGTCGAATGTAGGTGTGACAACATGAACATGTGAAGTTGATCATTACGTAACATTTTGAACATAAACGTTCGACACTTGTGTCATACATACTCGCCGTTTCAGTATCCGCCAAGTATTCAAACACAGAGGAAAGGCTTTTCACCGCGTTTGCTACAGTCTGCATTTTATACCCCGCGGTCTTCATGCATTCTGCAGTCCGCACAGTCCGACCGTTTCTTTTTATACTCTGAGTGTGCGGCCAGCGTTTATACCTTTTGATTTCTTCACAGCAAGGAGAGTGAATTTCGGAAATATCTTTGCTACCACACGGGAAGGAAAGGTCTGAGCCACAAGATTTCGAATTGTGCTCCTGTTTTGCTTTGTCATTAGGTAACTCTCTTTACAGTATCCTGATTTTAAAGCCCTGGGCCCATGCATTAGATCTGAGAAGCTTTTACTCACGTACTAAACTGAAAAAATGAAGACATAATAAACATACAGTATTTTTTTAAACAAATTCTTACCTTGATGAAAGATCGGCGGCTTCGGAGATCTTCGGAATGAGGTCAGGTCCGGGTACGGTCTGATGGGGTATGTTTCAATTCTTTAAAATTTAAACATCTCTGTTGAATATTAATATAACCCTACATTGCAGCCCACGCGCGCGTACGCGCGCACCCTTACTTTTTATATTAGCCTGCGCGTGCCCTCTACCCATACCAGCGGTGTCGTGTAGATTGTCTCTGAAGATCGTTTTCGCTCGCATATTGTAGTTGCCCGCTATGCATATTTCTTGGAATGAAGGAAAGCTTTTAAATGAGGAAAGAGCCAATCCTCACAGCAGCAAGGGTGTTATTTGCCTCGGCCACGCAACGCTGACTTGGCATGAATATCGACCTCCAAAAAACAAAACAATAATAAAACTTTTCAAACTTCTAGGGTGGAAAAACCTAGCTTGCCAGCAACAATTTCAAAGAGCTACGATGGTTTACAGGTCTCTGCACGGGTTGGCTCCAAACTATCTTAGTTCTAAATTTGAAAGGCGAGAAGTCGCATATAACCTAAGGGACTCTGAAAATAAACTCAATATTCCATTACCGCGCACAAACTATTACAAAAACAGCTTCAGCTATAGTGGCGCCATTCTCTGGAACAGTCTTCCTTGTAACTTAAGGGAAGCAGAGTCCCTTGGGCAATTTAAACGATTACTCAAAGAACTGTAAGGCACGGCATTCGTGGAAAGCAGCTTTTTTATTTAAATATTTTTATTATATTAGTATTAGGCATTTTTAAAGCTGACGAATTTTGTACCGTGAATAAATAAAGATTATCTATCTATCTATCTATCTATCTAAAACAATAACAGTTTCCGGCGATCATGCAGTTGATCATGCCCTCCCGTTTTCACCCCTAGAAATAGAAAAATCTCCTGATCGAAAAAGTACATGTAAGATTTCAAGTTGTGATCTACCTAGAACTCCTTTATCTTTTTTTCCTACTTCGTGAAAGGGAATTTTGCATGCATGTATGTATTCACCATATAGTTGGTCTAACCTGCGAGCAGGCTCACTTGTGCCGCGAGTTCCAGAAGTGAGAACTCGGCCGCCCGAGTTAGGAATAAACTGATGAGGCTGGATAGTCCTGGTCTGCAGGCCGGGCAATTCTGACAAATGGTTATTAGCTACTTGAGTTTAAGAAAGACAGTTCATAAAAGCTCTAATAGCAATAATAATAATAATAATAATAATAATAATAATAATAATAATAATAATAACAACAACAACAACAACAACAACAACAACAACTTTATTCAAGTCTTAGCACTAGTGCTGAAGCTAGTGAAGTTTGGGTTGCATTTGTGATCAGCCCGTGATTGACTTTAGTTGTGGGGCAGCTCTGCAATTGAAATACTCATTCTCTAAACGCTATTAGGAAGTAATAAAACAATACTTAATTACTTTAAAGCTCCATGAAAAGGATGCAAATACTATCAGTTAACCAATATTTAATCCTCGAATTGAGAGGCGGAAGAACTACTCCCATGCACGAATGACCATGAATGCCGGGTTAAAAAGTTAAGAATTAAATTCTTAGTGCCTTTATTGCACTACTCTGTTCTAGTCATGCAAATAAAGCTTATTGTTGTTTTCGTTATGTTATATTGTGAAAGCTTAACATGAAATAATCCAAACGTAGCGGTCACTGTACACTCAGTGTAGCAAAGCCGGTTGATATTGCGCCGTATAGCTGCGTTGCGCTGAGTTGTTTTGCGCAGTTTAAAATCAACAGTATACAATATTTGAGTGGGTGTGTTTAATTGAGTATTCATAACAGCCATACTTTTTACGGTCTTTTAAAAACACCTTATCTTTATCTATTTAGGTCATAGTCTTTTCAGTCATAGCCTTTTATCTCAATTCCAAAAATACAGGTCACATTTCAATCCCTTAAAACAAAATTTCCCGAATCCCTTATCTCGTTTGCCCCTTTTCCGAATCCCTGGCGTCAAATAAGATGAATCCCGAATCTCGAAAAACCAGTTGGGGACCCTCTCTTTTGCAGGTTTAACCATGGATACGTAACAGAAAGACTGGATAGGAAACCAGCTGACGTGATCAATTCCAATATAGTGGAAAATTGTGACGTCATACTGTCGAGAGCAGTTCATCTTTTGAAGCGTCTATTTTTTCCTTGTTTGTGGCTCTATCATCGACTATAAAAAAACCCGATGTTTTGAAGTAAAAGGATCAAGAGGAATGAGGAGGGCTCGGTCTTGAAGAAGACGGTTAGACTGTTACAAAACCAGCAGAGGAAGGGGAAAATGGATACCCCTTGGATACACTAGTTTCCAACGACAATAGCTTCCCATCCAGTCTTCATATTATCCACGGTTTAACATCATTGGATTGGATACAACATGTTTGATCCGTTAAAAAATTGATAATCTTTTCTTGGGTGTTGGATAATACTGGACCAGTCAATGGTTTTTCACAAGGTGGATCACGTTTCAACATGCCGTTCCAGCTTCCTTCATCGGTCAGGGATCGCACAAGTAGAACTTAAGAAAAGCGTGAGGCATCATGGGAAGCGTAAGATTTAATCTCCGTCTCGAGGTCCATAATAATGCGCCAAAATTTAAGCTTACTTAGTTAGATCAACTGTGTAGGAAGACAACTATAAACCGTAAATTTTGAGCTTTTCAGTAAATACGTTTGTGATGGAGACCGACCGAATACCTTACTCGGATTAATCGCTGTGACGCCTGTAACATTTCTATATTCCTTCCATTCACCGGGTAAAACTCCCGTCAAATAGTCCCAGCAACTCATAATTGCTGCTTCGGCAAGGAAAAGTGCTAATGGCGTCTCTCATCGAATGTGACAGCTTTCTTCACCACTTAAGCTTCACTACATTTGGAAAGTTAAAGCTATAAAGAGGTGTCTGTCCATTACCCAATGTTAGTAAGGTGGCATATAAAACCATTCAAAGATCCTCCTGATTCCTTTTTTAATAAACAACTCAAAAAGCCTACCATTTCAAGTTACAAAGATGTAATGGTCAAATGAGCATAATTGGCTATTCAATTTTGCTGTAAAATAGTGATTCTTTGCTCCTTGCTTACAAACAAGCGCCCAGGAGAAAACTCTGTCATTGAAATTTCAATAAAATCGGTGGTTCAATCACTTGCTCGATTGGAACTAACATGAAACTTGTAAGCGCTTCACCCTTCAGAGGATGATTAACTCAAATAATTTAATCTGATTCCCTCTGATTTCCTTAAGGGAGAAGACATGTTAGTAAGTAAACAAATCGCCGATCACGAAGAGAAATAATATGTTATTAAAACAAAGTCAAGGAATTATCTCCTTAATTACAATATTCGAGCACGAGGACGAGATATACAGTGTGAACGTATTTTCAATAATCGACACCACGGCCGAAAGTTCATCGTACTTTTTTTTCACAAGAAAAGTTAGCACGGTTATTTTAATGAAGAGGGTTATGCCTTCTTCCGATCGCAAAATGATAAAACTTCTATCATTTACTAACTTTCCGTCATTACGCCATATTCGCAAAAACTCGGAGTTGAATGACGACGGCTATTACGTTTTCCCGCCAAAATGACGCTGGTTCACGTGCGCACATGGTCTTGAGAAAATCTAGTTCTGGTAGTACAGTCGTCCTCGTCTTAGAATCTAAAGCTCTCTACTTTCTATTATCAGGGAAGGAAATGAAAGGGTCACCACATAACCTCATAAATCACGTATACTTATAGACCAGCATAGCTGTAAATTAATTTTTGCAGTTTTCACGTTCATTGTAACTGAAACAAAACTCTGTATTAAAATAAATATCGAATTTTGTCGCTTGCAACCACATACAAGCTGTTTAAGAATTTTCTTCATATTTTTCGATGCAAGAAGTATAGATAGTAATTACAGCTTACTTAGTTACTAAATATGCTCTGTTTTATTTACTAAATTATCAACAGTGATAAAACTTTAGCATATAACAATAAAAGTACAAGTGTTTTGTACAATAACTTAATATTCCCATGTAGAATCGATGTTGATAAAAAGTCATTTTTCACTTCAAATACATGCAGTCACTAAATTTAAAAAAATTAATAATTTAACTTAATCCGCAATCTAGAAATTTCCTAATTTAGCTACATGTAGGTAAGACAGTGGAATTACAATAGCAAGTGCTGTATCGCTAACAGATTTTCATCACTAAATAAATAATTAGAATATCAACGTGGTAAAATGTATTGAAAGTATTCTTGCAAAGCAAGGTAATCTTGAAATGTCAGCGTACGAGTACAGGCTTAGGTTTCTAGTATCTAGTTCCGTTAATATGCGTTTCTGTTCCATTCACTGAACTAATGGGAACTTCACTTTCATTTAAGCCATTTAAGAGTCTTTCCCTTCCGTTCAGTCCATTCATTTGAACTTCCTTTCCATTTACAGCATGGGATGGCTGGAGTTCTTGCAAAAGTTCTTTAAAGTCAGTAACAAACCACGGGGCTTGCGTTCTCACTTTTTCCCGTACAACATTTCCTCCAAAGCCAATAAACATATCCTATAAAGGTTACAAAAAAGCACTGACTGAATTCGCTAAGTGTTAATCGGACGAGCGAGGTGGCGATTATCAAAAGACTGTCCCGTTCTATATCTAATAGAGTATCGAGAGCCAAGGACCATGGGTTTTATTAAGGGGCAGGACAGGCTTGGAAAATTGGAAATTACAGTCAAACCAGGTCAAGCGTTCCCGTCGCTAGCAAACTAATGAATTCATTGATGGAAAAATGATTTTGTTTGTTGATTCAATAATCCATTCATAAAATGAATAATCCACCAGTCAAATTGCAACTCCATTCAATAATTAAATGTTGATTTGGTTTATGAACAAAATCTACCTGTTCTTTATTCTTGTCTGTTGTGTTCAATCGTATTTGCTTCCCTTTTCCTGCCGTTTACGATTGCGTTTTTCATTGCCTTTAATCAAAATAACAGCTAGAAGAGATCGACAGACCGCAAACGCAAAGAAACTGACAAAGGCCGGGGATCGAAATCCACCAATCACCGCACATACACTGACCTCAGTTTGACTATCGTGTTTTCTAAGAGGTCAGGTCCGTTGCACTGATTACTGGAAGCAAAACGGGCGTACATGTAACAGTTTGTTTGGGTTTGGAAAAAAATAAGAAAAAAAAGTGTAGTTTTTTCAAAAAACAGTAATCGAATCATTCGATTATGGAATCGAGGCTAAATATGAATACTGGATTGTTCATATTATGAATTGATTATTGAATCAACAAACGAAATCATTTTTCCGTTAATGAATTTATTGGTTCGTTAGCGACGGGAACGCTTCACCTGGTTTGACTGTAAATTATAGTGCCGAATAGGGACTGAAATGAAAGTCAGAGGAAGCACAAGAAACCAAGAAGGTTACAGAAAATCGGGATTCTAAAGCATGTCCATTTTTTCTCATTCTAAAATAAGACACACCCAAAGTTTTGCTTAGCACGTTTATAAGGAAGTTTTCTAAAATAATGTTTTTCACTTGAGAGATTATAACAATACTCACTGCCGTTGGGTATGTCTCCAGATCTGTGGCTCCATCACCAATCATGACCAAGCTAAAAAGCATAAAAATATCCAATGTACTGGTCACAGAGTGACTATAACTCCTACATGTATTCCTTAATAATAATAATAATAATAATAATAATAATAATAATAATAATAATAATAATAATAATTTCTTAGGCTTTCCCTAGTTCTGTTTCAAAGCCAAGAATGACTTACATAATACCCACGTTTTGAAGCTAGTCGAGCGGTTTTCTGGTCACTGTTGTACTGTAATGAGCTAAAACTTACCAAAAAGCCGTCTACAGGTCATACACTTCGCGGACTTCTGATCCAGATGCAAAATATGAGGTGCGAAGTTCGCGCATGCGCAGAAAACAAAATTTCGAGATCACAAAGCAGTCTTGACTTTTACTTGTCTCTTTCTATCCTCCCCTCTTTTTTCGCTTTTCTTGCCTCATTTTTTTTCTCTTTCTGGGCCCTTAGTAGGCTTCATTTTGGTGGGAAACGTTTTTAAGAAAGCTGTTACGATCTTGGGATTAGATGAAAGAAAAGGTAGGTGGGTAATGGGACAAGATTAGGGTCAGTCAATGTTACATGTTTTTTTGCCTTTTTCTCCGGTGTCCTTGACTGAATTCTGCTCATTTCCGGTATGGTTTGAAAGATCTCTTCACTCTGCACAAGTTGGCGGACAAAGCCATTTCGAAAGTTTTCACTAGAAAATACTTTGGGAAATCCATTGTAATGGTACAGTACTGTTGAGTAATAAAGTTTCCATTTGAATGATCCGTTTTACAAATCCATAGCACTGACAGCCAGGTTGCACATTTTATTAACACTTGCTATGTTTTCTTTTATATTCTTAAATGTAATAGTTTAACAGATAAGCAAAAAGAAAAATATTACAGTGTAATATAACAGATAAGTGAAAAAGAAACTGATCTGCATTAACTGTAGTCTTACTTTTTGTAGCCATATCTGGCTTTCAAAAGTTCCACAACACGTGTCTTTCCACCAGAATCTGATGTTGGCTCATTCTCGTCAAAACCAGCAAAACGACCTAGCATTGTTCAGCAGAGATACATTAAAAAAATACTGGAGACAAAGTGCTACACAACATATAAAACTATATTTGGTAACACAGGATGAAGGAAGGCAGCTGAAGCTGACATAACCTGACCTAACTAAATTATAGCAGACTGAGTATATTAATACTATGATTATACAGTAAACACACGCTAATAAGAACCTACAATTTTTGTGGTCTGGCAAAAAAGGTTCTTTTATTTTGGGAGATTTATTGGCAATTCAGGCTAAGTACGTTCGTAGTTAGGTTCTTAACTTCTGTGAAGGAGATGCAGTTATTGACTACCAAATAAATAAATATACAGTATTTGTTCACAACTGTACATTGCAAACCTTCTTTTATGCAAGGTCCATGAAGACAATTACAATCTGTACTTTATATGTAAACATTTTTTCGTGGTAGGAATTACAGTAATGCTTCAATTTGTAATTACAGTTTGGTGCAGTATCTTCTTGTAATACCAATTGGCAATCTCAAAGTCACACTCCTTGGTTAAAATATTTATCTCAATTTACCTGTTACCCACATATATTAAAAAACCTGCTTGCTTGGCTAAACAGGTTCTTATATTTTTGGGAATTAAAGTGCCAAATTTCTGCCAAGAGATTCTTTAGCCACACATTCTTATTAGCAGGTGTTTGCTGTATCATATTAATTATAAATCATTTTAGTATTATCCACAGTATTATAAATAGAAACCTGAAAATCTGTAAACTACACTAAAAAACGACTTTTTTACATTAAATTGTGAATATATAGATATCAAAAGATATAGACATAAATAACGGTATAAATAACAACAAGTTTGATAGTTAAAATGTGTATCGTTCAAATACTGAATCATAATCAAATAGTAACAGAAAACTACATCAACATCCAAATGAGTACTTAATTGTGAGAAAAATATATCCTCTTTTTCCTTGCTTAACATAAAAATTGAATGCACCATTTGCTCAATGAATGATCCATATGGCAGAACATATGCATTGCATGAAGGACTATTGACTCCAAAAGCTACTTTCCACCCTCACTCCCCCAAATACATATTGCAACAAAGTAGCTTCTGCCCACAGGACATTTACTACAAAAAGCTAAAAAAAGCTTTTTTGAGAACATACCTTCATTGTCGAACAAAAGTGTGTTGGCAAAGATGTTTTCATTGCATATATCAAGTTCTTTAGCTGCTCCTTGAATAATTCGTTTAAACCCACCAGATACAAGATAAACTGCAGTGCCTCGATCATGGAGTGTTTTCACTAGTTCCCTACAAAAATGTAAAAGTAGTGTTAGAATAGTTTGCCGGAAGTTTACATACGTCAGGGAACATAAACAAGGTGAGGAAGATGTTCATTACAATACACGTAAAACACAGAACTAAAAAAAGGAAAAACCAGTTTTTTTTATTTATTCATCCAGATTTTTGGACGGATTTGAACGGTTGTCAGCAGAGGCTAACGTACGCTCGCAGGGTAAGCTAGTAGCTGTTGCAGTTTATTTTATATTTCAGTTAATTTTTATATTGCCTTTGTTTCAAATTCATTAGCATTCAATAGCATACCCAAAAACAATAGGAAAATAATTTACTGAGATAAAAAATTAACTACATGTACAACATAGCCATACTCGCAATCCTAGTAATAATGAATGGACAGCAGGTTTAACAGCTTACCTTATACCAGACGTCAGTCGAAGAGGATTTTGTTCAATAAAACTTTCAAGCTAAGGAAAAAAAACATATAAATAAGGAACACAAGGAACGATAAAGTGCTCAATATCATGAGTGTAATCCG